TTTTGGTGTGAGTATACGGCTGCAACGCCGAATGTCCTCTTTCGGATCTCTGTATCTCCTATCTCGACATTTCTCTCTCTCCCCTTCCTCTGAGTTGAATGACGCTGTGTCACGAGTATTTTCCTTCCCGTGAATGAGAAAGAATCTGTGTGTTTTTCCTGTGTGAAGGAACTTCTTCCGGAACTCTTCCATTAGTTTCCTGGGTAATCCCCAGATTTCGAGGGATTGATCCTCTTGTCTTGTGAATGGTGGATGCGTGTGTACATCGGTTGATTTCTGACCCATGCACCTTTGGTTATTTTCACACCTTCCACAGTGGATGTATGTATGTAGATGCTTGTCTTTTTGCATTGATTAGATTCGACGTTCGATGGGATTTTGCTCGAGAATGCAAGAGTGTTTAAATATGTGGTTCTGAATGCACTGCGCATGCCATCTGCCTTATGCTGCACGACATCTGCAACCGATCTACAAGGCTGCCTCGAAAAACAAGGCGCCTCCAATCAACGCCGCGTGGCTTATTAAAACCTGAGTCACGGGTCGGTCCCTCTGTCAAGTGCATGATCAAACTGATAAGTGTTCTCCATCTCTCTCGTGTCGAAAAGAATCGATTGGTGGTTGTGCGGGTGTTTTTCCTTGATGACGTCCCGGGATTTTTGCAATTGAATGACATGTGGACTTACGAACGCCCTTCGATCGGGCGCCAGCCTCCCGTATCTCCCACGCCGACGCGACCCTTTCCTTACGACGAGGAAAGGACACGTGTATGCGAATGGGACGTGCGATAAGCTGTCGCACGGATCGGCAGACGATATTACTTCCCCCCCGAAAACCGTTGTTCGGGATTCGTGGATGCGGGGTTTGTCATTATCGATACTCACTTTCCACCCTACTCGATATTGTTGCCCTTTAACGAGCTGATCGTCATTCCGTGGACAGCAGTGGAACCCCACTAGCCTCGCACTCTGTGCACTAAGTGCCAGCGTTTCGAGCACTGCGAATCCAAGGGTTTCCATTACCGTATACGGAACGACGATGAACATAGAGAAAAAGCCACACGATTGAGACCCTCCACGGCGGACTCAGAACTGACTAACGAGCGACGCCGTGACTTAATACGCAAGCGAGACACGCGAAGTGTGCCGAAGCCTTTTTGCTCTAAACGAAGGGCCGTAGCACGGTGGGAAGTACGATAATACTTTTTGGATTAAACTTTGTATTCCTCTCTCGTTTCGCGCCGAATTCGCGCGCGCATTCTTCAACGCGCGAAAAGCAACCAACTCACTTCATCGGACCGTCACGGGGGATTTCAGTTTTGGCTGTGTCCCCACACTCAATTTCCAAAAATCCTTGGCACACCCGATCTTGCCGTTTTTCTGGGCCTCTTTTCCGCACACTTAGCACTCCGAACGAAAGACAGTACGGGGCGTGAGGTTGGTATCGGAGCCGACACGTGCCGGTTTTGACAAGAGTGAGATGAGCTGGCGAGGGGAAGAGCTGAAGAGCCGCTAAACAGCCTAACCGCCTCAGTCCGCCGGTCACTAGTCAAAGATTTGCCGAAGCCCGACCAGAGATGCCTATAGGCGAAGCCAATAGAGCGCCTCCGCAGGTGATGGTAAGCATTCCCGCCACGTTTCCTTTCTATCCTAACTACACTCACCCGGAGGCATGGCTTGAAGCCGTGCAAGCGCAAGGCTATGGCGCCGAGGATCTTCCTCGCATCCTCACCTTGCTACTTCGAAACACTGCGCACGATTGGCTTAGAAGACACAGGTGGGTAGATTGGGATACTTTCAAAGGAGCGTTCTTGGCACGATTCGACGCGGTCAGTGAAGATGCCACCTGGTTTGTACTAAAAAGCCGCCTACAAGAACCTGGGGAATTACTACCTGATTTTGTAGATCGATTTCAGACCGCCTTAGACAAGTCAGGGCGGGAAGAAAACGCGGCTCGAGATTTGTTTATTGATCATCTTCGTAATCCCGAGCTGAAAGCGAAACTGCAGAAAAAGGTACCTCCCAAGAACAACCAGCTGTCAGTCATCATAGCCAAAACCCTCGAATTGGATTTGTTGGATACACGTAAATACATCCGGCAGGGAAAGGAAGACATCTCGGATACGATCCAAGATATCGTGGCCAAGAAGCGATCTTGGCTCAGAGCGGTAGAACGATTCTTCCCCCGACCCAATCACGATTATCAGGACGGCCCTATCCCGGAGCCCTCCTCGTCTCATCCCCTACTCCTCTCAAGACCGCCTCCTCCGAAGATCGCACCCGTAAACACTGTCATGGCTCAAGAAACCGCCTCGGTCCCCATCACCAATCTCCATTTAGCACAAATGATCCACACTGCCACGACTAAAGAGTCCGAATGGATGAATAATCTGTTGCAAATGCAGGCCTCTCAAATGGATCGACTAGAACAGATCACGACTAAACTGGTAAACGTTAATTCTGGCCCTTCTCGCCCCATTCCTGCTCAGTATCCGTTGCTTATGGCCCCTCCCGCGGGTGGACCAGTTCACTCCGCCGCTCCTCTTCAGATGGCTAATCCAGCAAGAAGAATCGAATGCTATAATTGCAAGCAGCTAGGGCATTTCGCTCGAGATTGCCCACAACCGAAACGCAATCAACCGCCTCCTGCGGCCGCGCCTGTAGCTTTGAACCAGGGACGAGTGGCCACGGTGTTAGAACAGGCAAGGGAGGCTTCCCCATTCATCACTGATCAGCCGCACTCAGGTGATCAGGGCGCATCCACGTCAGGATCCTCTAAAGCCGCAGATGTCGTTGATCCCACTGAGTACCTTCAGCCGGCCGGTCTGATCGGAGCGATCCGACCCGCCAAAGAAGAACTCGATTGGGTCGAACAAACATCGGAACCAGGACCCCAGTTTCAGACAGGAGAAATTGATCTTCTACAGACACTCAAACAGTTAGATATTCGACTGCCAATCCCTGTAGGACATCTGCTGACTATATCCGAGGCCGCGAATGACAAAATTCTATAGCAGTGTCAGAAGAATCAGAAGCGCTTCACCTATCAGCGCGTTCAACGTATGCCCCCAGTAGTCACCACAAACACACCTGAACCTGCCCGAATCGCAGCCATCTCCTATGCTGAGAAGGATCACTTTGTACGAGCGCGATCGGTCCTATGGAAAAGCGCGGAATGCGATTGTGAAGTCTGGGGCAAACCTTTTGATGCACTGGTTGATACTGGATCATCGACAGTTGCCGTCTCCTTGAATACAGTCCGAAAAACTGGACGATTGAACTCTATCCTTCCTCTACCAGGGAGGGATAACTACGTCTCGGCCGATGAGGAAGCCATGAATATCGTAGGAATCATCGAGAATGTCGCGATCAAGGTAGGTCGAGTGCATGTGTTGGTTAATGCCTTGGTCATTGACGTACATTCTTATTCAATATTGTTGGGATTACCCTGGGCGATGGCAGTAGGGGCTCAAGTCCATTTCAGTTCAAGACAACTCGTCCTCACTCAAACAGGAGGGAAGCCTCAGATGCTCCCTCTCTGAATCTCCATCCGATCCCCGCGGAAATATCCCGATATTGATCGGATAGGGATGATCTGGAATACTGAAAAGTCCCCCTCGAACTCGGAAGACGAGTTCAATGAGCACGAGTACGAAGAAGAACTCAGCATAATGCCCCACCACGAAGAGTGGAAGTAGTTAGTCGAAATGTTCGATCGCAAGACGAAGGAGGAATTTCAGATGATTCTTACAATAACTCAGACGTTCGATCTGAGTTCGGATAACGGCGACTCCCGCCGTCCCTTACCTACGGAAAATCAGACTCTCCCTACGACCTTTTTGGGAGAACCAATCTTGCAAGTCTCAGACCTGACCGATCTTTTGGAACCCCCTCGCACATTATACGAGGGCACACTGTCCCTCCGAGCGAGATATCAGCAGATGAACCAATACTTGGATCTCTCTGTCTTCCCTCCCCGATCACTACTCACGCAAGGAGCCGTGGTCGCCTTGATCCAAGAAAAGGCAGAAGCCCCGATCACCGATGTTCCGGATCTCATGCAGGAAATAACGGAATTAACGGGAGTCGAGATAGCCAAAAGCATCGATGACCCTGAAACAGACGCTGAAATTAAAGAAACCGAAATGATCACTCCAGCAGAATCACAGATGATCGCTATCGTCTTTTCGGTCCGAACTAGCAGTTCAATGTTTTCCAGCGTCCACAACAGGCGACCGCGAAGATTGGAATGGATTGACACGCCTCTGAGCTCGGAAAATAATACGATAATCGCCATTCCCAATCATGTCCCCAAGGATGTCCGAGAATCCCTAATTAATGTATTGCATGGCTATGCTGACGTGTTGAGTATGGATGACATCGATATTGGGCTATCTACTGTAATTGAGCACGCGATCCTTACGGGGAATCATCCACTTATTAGTTGTGCTCTGTATCGATACCCACCGGCGCAGAGAGCCGCTGCGTTAAAAAAAAACAAGGAATTCGAGGCTAATGGTTGGATTGAGCCCGCTATCCGACCATGGTCATTTCCAGTAGTGATTGTGCCAAAGAAAGCAGGAGGAATTCGCTTCTGCATTGATTACCGAAAACGGAACGATATCACGATTAAAGATGTGTATCCTCTTCCTCGGATTGATGAATTGTTGGATGCTATTGGTGACGCTCGATTCTTTAGCAAATTTGATATTCGACACGGATTCCACCATCTTCTGGTTCGAAAAGAAGACCGCCCGGAAACGGCGTTCATTCTTTTCGAAGGAACTTGGCAATGGGTCAGATGTCCGATGGGGATTTGCAATGCCCCAGGCACGTTCCAGCGCGCGATGAACATGGCCTTCCAGAATTTCATGCGAAAAACGCGGCTGGCGCAAAGCATAATCAATTATTGTGTGATTGTGTATATGGATGAGATCCTTGTGTTCTCCACTTCCTATGAGGGACACGTGCAGCACATTGAATGGGCACTACACGCGCTCAAGGACGCAGGGTTCAAGGTGGCGGTTGAAAAATGCCAGTTTTTTCTCACAGAGATCTCCTTCCTCGGCCATGTCGTCACGAGCCAGGGGTTGCAGCCAGATCCCCAGAAGGTGACAACGGTGAAAGACGCGCTTGTACCGATTTCTATAACGCAGGTCCGCGCTTCTTTGGGTTTGGCGTCGTACTATCGAAGGTTCGTCAAGGGATTTGCAGCGATCGTGGGACCACTCACGAATCTCCTGAAAAAGGATCAACCGTTGATGTGGACCCCGCAGTGCGATCGGGCTTTCGAAGAACTCAAGGCGGCCCTGATTTCGGCCCCAGTTCTTATAAGGCCGAACCTAGGGAAGCCCTTTGTTCTCATAACCGATTGGCAGCCGGAGGCGATTTCCGCAATCTTGGCTCAGGTGGGACTCGACGGTCTCGAACATGTGGTGGAATACGCATCTAAGACGGTGCCGACCTACAAGCGCAACTACGCGGCCCCGACGGGAGAGTGTTACGCAGCCTTATGGGGGATCAGCCACTTCCGAGCATATCTGTATGGTCGAAAGTTTACATTGGTAACCGATCACGAGCCGCTGTTGGCGCTGAAGAAATCCAAGGATTACTCGGGCATGATCGGACGATGGGCCACCATCCTGCAGAGCATGGATTTTGACATCCATCATCGGAAGCACGAAAGGCACGGGAATGCTGACGGATTGACACGACTGCACCGACCCGAGAAGGTCCTTAAGAGCGAAGAAGTGATTCCGTGGAACGAGCCGGAGGAGGAAAGCGTACCACGATACAGACAGGTGGAAATTTTGTCAAAGGAGTGAGTGACACGTGGCCTCGCTCTGACCTCTCTGCAGCCCTTATCACTCTCTCTCCCCCTTCTCTCATAATGGCTACCCCACCTGTCTCTGCGACCCCTTCTTCCCGTGCTGATTCCGGCCCTCTCGCCAGCTCGGCCTTGTTTGCCACCCTTCCCGACAGATTCTGCTATTTTTGCACGTGTATTACACGGGTATATGGGGTGAATTGTCACCCTTTCGAGACCGGATTCGTTGAATGGGTAAAGTGTGCCACGTGTGCCAATCGTGCACACGGTGCATGTGTTCGATATCGAACAAGTAGTAGAGAATGGAAATGCCCTCTGTGTAGGATGGACAAACTACCTATGGAGGTTCGATTCGAGGCTGCCCGTACGGACGACCCTGAATACGACGAGAAATATCGACGGGCGGAGGTATGGACGGATAAAATCCTATTGGCTAAACTAGCTGGGTTACCCTTGGATCATCTCACTAAGCATGACAGACGTCGTGCTACCGAGAGATCTCGAGATTACCGATGGATCAACGGTCACCTAGAAAAACGTAAGACTGACGGATCGGGACTATGGTTAACGCTTCCCCATCCTTTTCAGAGATATGACTGGACTGGGTCCGCGCACGAGGAACAGGCCGCTCATTTTGCGATACGTGTCACCAAGGCAACTATCGATCAAAATCGATGGTTCTGGTTTAATATCCGCGACGATGTGAAGCACGTGGTCGCTAACTGTCTAGTCTGTGTTGCCGACCGTGCGCCCCTTCGAGGGCCGAACACAATAGTTTCAACGGAGGTAGAACTGCCCTTTCAGCGGGTCAGTATGGATACGACTGACATAGACATGCCACCTGGCCCCAACCGTTGCGAATATTCCATCCTCTTAGTATTGATCAATCATTTCTCGAAGTATATTGAAGTCTACCCATGTAGAACCCGAAAGGCCGCAGAAATAGCCACATACATCGATCGGTTTCTCTATACTCACCTAGATACAAAAGAAATTCTAACCGATAATGGGTCTGAGTTCAAAGGTGAGGTAGAGGAGTTACTCGCCCGAAGAGGCATTACGCTTCGACATACGGCACCCCACGTTTCCCAGTCCAACAGATTGGCCGAAAATTCCAATCGAATGATTAAGACTGCCCTTCGAAGAAATCTAGCGGCGGGTGACACGCGTCCCTGGCCCGAGATCGTATATCAGATCGTCGGAATTCACCGGGCCACCCCCCATGAATCCACGGGGTTCACCCCCTTCCAGCTTCGAACCAATCGCCTCCCATGTGTCAATTACCAGGGCAACTCGGAAATTGCCGAAGCAGGGGGTAGAGACACGCGTGCCGCCCTTAAGGCCAAGCCCAAAAGGTATGCCGATTTAATGGAGAGGGCCGTGCCTAAATTGGCCCGGAAGAGATAAAAAATGACCGAACTGGCTCACGGTAGACAGGTCCGTAGCTACGAGGCTCGGAATGGAAGTGCGGGCCCACAACACCAATATAAGTTAGGGGACCTGGTGCAAGTACGCAAATGTGCACGCGACTGTAAACTCGCTCCCAAGTTCTCTGGCTGTTTCCGCGTTGTCGAACTCGGTCCTAACGGTGCCAACACGGTGCGCATCGCGCCCGAGGCGAGCGCCAGCCATAGCTCTGTCCCTATCGTCCGCCATCACTCTTATATCCGTCTCCTCCCTCCCTCTGACATCCCTCCACCTCCCTCGTCTGTTGAAGGAGAGGATGAAGACGATCTAGTTCCCGCCTCGCTCTCTCCCTTCTGCTCCCCTCTTTCATCTTCCTCCCCATCCTCGCCATGAGTTTCATCACGGAGCGAGCTCTTAGCGATCATCTGCTGCAGCCACGTGGCTACATCTCCGAGATTCGACAAGTTCATCATCCACGGCTCAGTCCTGATCTGCAAAGGGTAGCACAGTTTTTCTGCACCGAGGGAGTGTGTACCGCTGCTGCTTTTCGATTCGCCGGGAGTCAGCAGGCAGTGATATTGGCGGAGGTGGTGGCCCTTCATCGACAAGAGGCTCCCGTTACGAGCCACATCACCACGGTCGCTGCTTTCAGTGCAGACATCAGCGCGGATAGCCCGCTTTGACATACCATGATCCTGACCTCATTGCAGGAGTGGACGCAACAGTTACCGACTGAGTGGCATCACGGCTGTCTCTTATACACATCTAGATGTGTATAAGAGACAGGTCCTGATCTGCAAAGGGTAGCACAGTTTTTCTGCACCGAGGGAGTGTGTGCCGCTGCTGCTTTTCGATTCGCCGAAAGTCAGCAGGCAGTGATATTGGCGGAGGTGGTGGCCCTTCATCGACAAGAGGCTCCCGTTACGAGCCACATCACCACGGTCGCTGCTTTCAGTGCAGACATCAGCGCGGATAGCCCGCTTTGACATACCATGATCCTGACCTCATTGCAGGAGTGGACGCAACAGTTACCGACTGAGTGGCATCACGGCTGTCTCTTATACACATCTAGATGTGTATAAGAGACAGGTCCTGATCTGCAAAGGGTAGCACAGTTTTTCTGCACCGAGGGAGTGTGTGCCGCTGCTGCTTTTCGATTCGCCGAAAGTCAGCAGGCAGTGATATTGGCGGAGGTGGTGGCCCTTCATCGACAAGAGGCTCCCGTTACGAGCCACATCACCACGGTCGCTGCTTTCAGTGCAGACATCAGCGCGATTAGCCCTCTGCAGCATACCGCGATCCTGACGTCCTTGCGGGAGTGGGCGCAGCAGGTGTCGACTGATTGGCGTCACGGTCTCGCGCGCACGGGCTACAATCTATTCCCGACATCCGGGATGGACTTCGATGTTCGCACTTCTCCGCGTCAGCCGATAGTCACGCTCCCCGCCCTCATCCCCTTCCAACGCCCCCAATGAACCACGCCGCTCCCCTCGCTCCCCTCTCCACCTTCGGTCTCCCCTCTTTTTCCCACCTTCTGGCAATCTGACCTCCATCCTCGCCTTTCTCTCTTACTCGAGCCTCTCGCCGTTCCGCTCCTCCATCCTGGGCATTGGCGGTTGTGGCGCGAGCTCTTTGTCGATCTTTCTGTGTGCTTGGCCCGAGTGCAGGTGACGTGGACACGGACCAGTGAGCAGCCTGCGTGCATCGAGTACCTGGAGGTTGGAGATGTTGATCCTGCAGGCTTGGAGAACGGACGTGGAAGGTGATCTTCTCGGCTTCCTCTTCGGATCGGTGCGACCAGGCCATCGCCAGTCTATCGTCCAAGAGCTCATCGTCCCGCTCGCGCAATTGGCTGACGATCTCCCCCTCGCCATCATTTAGCAGAGCGACGACAGTCCCGCTCCGCACATCGTCACGCGAACATTGGCGTCGTATCTCCAGTGGACCGCTTGCTTGGAGGAACCTGGGAGTGATAGCACTCTGCCATCACGACAGGAATACTTGAAGCCGTACGGGATCATCGATCACGCCTTCTATCCGAAGGAGCCTGAGGCGCTTGAAGGAGAAGAGGAAGTCGTTGAAGAAGAGGGCGACGCCGGCGAAGAAACATCGGAGGAGGGGAGTTATAGTGAGTACAGCGAAGGGGAGCAGAGTGAGGAGGAGGAGGAGCTAGAAGAAGAAGACGAAGAGGAGGAAGCCGGATCAGAGTGGGAGGACTTGCCGGAAGAAGCGGCATGCACAGGCACGGAAGCGGAAGATCCCGCGGCGGCACGTAGAAGGGAAGAGATCGCCGCCGAGAAAAACCAGCTGGAGATCGCCAGCGGGGCAAGCTTGTGCATCAACGACGATCTGACCAGGGATCCAGAGCCCCCCGAGCCCAAGGATGGCGGATCAGCAACCGCGGCTCCGAGTGCATCGCGGTGGAGACGGAGTCGATCCCCCTCCCCCTCCCCCCCAACCCGTCCCCCAGTTCGTCTACGTACCGATGCGGGGAATCCGCCTTCGTCCCCGGTCATTATCCCGCCGTCCCCTTGATTACCTTACCCTCTCCCAGATCTCTACCCCCGTCACCTTTCCTTGCAACCCCTTTCCTCCCAATACTTTCGAGCACTTCTACTCCACCCGTCTCGCCGTCACCATCCATCCGAGCCCCTCCCTTCAAGCCGCGAACCCCAAGTTCTGTCTACACGTCCTCTTGTTCAGTGTCGCGAGGCGGCAGAATAACGCAGTAGAAGTCTACTGCCTAATCACGGGGACCATCCCTGCATGTCCCCATCATGAGCTGTTTTGCGCGGCACTCTTTCGCACCTTCTCCACCTTTTATCCTGACTACCTCGCCTCCCTACCCCACAGCGGCGATCGGTTTCCTCGTTTCCACAGGATCATCCGCTACGAGGAGCTCCCTATCACAGAGGAAGGGATCAATCGATACCTGCCCCCACCCCCTCCCCTCCCTCCCCGTGAACACCCCCCCATTTATCGTATCTACTTTCCCATTCCCACACAGCGTTGAAGGCCACGTGTCCCCCGAGTGGAATGAATCAGCAGTTTTCGCGAAGATCACGCCATTGACGATGACGTCAACTTACGCTCTGATTCGATCGACTGAGCGGGACTGGGGGTGCAGAGCACACGGAGATTTGGTGAACCATGATGGTGTCACCTGGACGATCTCCGAAGCCTGAAGGAAAGGGGGTTGCATATGACAGGGCTGCAGAGAGCGGGATCCGAAACCGCACGAGCCGGCGCGATCCACGAAGATCTTGCCACAGATGTTGTCGCCAGCTCATTATGCTGATCCAAGATCCCATTTCGCCTTGTTTCTTCGTTCCTTGTACTCCTTCCTGTTTCTCCGTCCCCTCCCTTTGTTCAAGCTTTCATGCAATCAGGAGATCGCATAAATTTGGAACCCCCTGCGCGTCACATATGTGACGCCCTGCGCGTCACATATGTGACGAACTACTTTCCGACCCAGTGCTATCTTTCGCACCCCCTTGGCCCAATACCCCCTTGTGTACCATACCGTCCCCACAGGACCCTCGTCGCTTTTCTTGATTTTTAGGCGCTTTGTTTGAGCCCCCATCTTTCGGATGTTCTATTGATTTTTTTTTTTTTGAATTCTGTCTTTTTGCAATTCGGGAAATGCATGGGAAATTTTGCGCGCCTTAGCGAGCGCACTGGGAATCGGGCTCGACAGTTAGGAATTACGGAATAAGCGGAGCCTGACGTATCTTTTTCCTTGCATGAATGTTCTCGGTCACGTCGGAGAAAACTCTAGGAATTTTGTGAGAATACGGATAGGTATAGGATTTTGTTTTTCTGCGTCGACTTTCGCGCGCGGATATGGTGATTTCAATTTTTAAATTGGTGTAGGATATAGGCAAGCTGTAACTGTTTCGGTGCCTTTTTCTCTTGTGGTTGGCACCGCGCATGTGAGCATCCTCCTCCTTATTTCCCGCGCCATCCTTGCCCCACACTTCCCCCCC